GAGGAGTCTATGCCCCCACTTTCTCCACTGGCGACCTTCTCTAGGAGCCAGCTCTCTGTGAAGCCTCCAGAGGTCAACACGTCCGAAGTGATATAGTCTTTCCATATCTCTCTCTCTCTCTCTCTCTTCTCTGTCCTTCCTTCCCTGGTGTTGGGGCCAGAGAACTTATCCAGCTTGGGCCTATACTCTGAGCCCACAACCTGAGGCAGTCACCCCAGGAGAGACCAGCCATAAACTTGGCCAGGCCCAATGCCCAGGCTCCTCACACACAGTCAGACCCTTGGGATCCAGTTCCTCACCTGGATCTCAGCTGGATTTTTTAAATGCCTCATTTATGAAGGAACTAGTCCTCAGACTGCCACCTCCCTTGTCCCACAATGTTCCTACACCATCCCAGCGCTGGGGGCAGAGGGCAATGACATATCCCAGTCCTAGGTCTGTGTCCTCCTCCTCCACCATTCCGGGTACCCCCAGAATGAACTGACCTTTTCAGAGAGGGTAACAGACCCTTCTACCCCTTGTTAGGTGGACCCCGTCCCCAGTTCAGAGCCCATCATGACTATTAAAACACAACACCCTATAGTCTTCCATTTTGATGCCCAGATGGGCATCAAAGGTCCTTCTGGGAGTATCAGTTACTCTACACTAATCACCAGCAGTGGGGAGTGGCCATCAGATTGGACAAGTCTTTGGAGATTCCCCATCCCCTGCTTGATATATGCCTTGATATACACCTCTTGTACAGAGCTGCCTCAGGCCCCAGATCATAACAGGCCATCAGCCAAGCCTGCCCACCTAATCCAAGCCCAGCAGCATTCTGGGCTCTTTCCCAGCTCCAGCCCAGCCTCCAGCTCACCATCTACAAGGTCAGAGAAAGGTATTCATCATCAAATATGAATGTGCCCCATCACCCCAGTGACTGCTCACAGGCCTGTGGTGGGTCTCCAAATCAAAAGTCCTTTGTTTACCCTTTAAGGCCCTCTTCCAAAACCCAGCCCCTCCAGGCAGGACTTCCTGACTATGGATATACCCATGGAATCAACTGGCAGTCCCTCTCCTCCAGGCCCACCCTCTTAGGGGCATCTCTACTGTTCTTGGGATGCTGGGCCAAGACTCAGGTTTCCTCAACAATCTTTCTGGGTGGGCCACCTCCAGGAGCTCCCTCCAGGCAGGGGCGTGGGCTTCTCATTCTGTCATCATCCTATCTCCTCCCCAACTATACACAATGCCTAGGATGGCTCAGCCCTTAATCCATGGTCACTGCCCACTTCTGATTTGAAGACCCCATTGGGACACAGTTTCATTGTCTGTCAAACCAAAGGGTTAGACTTGACCTCTCTATGATTCTCTGATTCTATAACTTACTCTAAGCCTTCCCTGAAGCCCCTCCTTGGCAGGATGAGACCCACCTCCCCACAGTACAAAGCATCCTTCCCCACTGTGTACATTCAAAGTGTCCACTCATCTTCAGGGTCTGCATTTTCTCAAATCTCCCAATTTCATGCCCTCCACACATATCTCCTGCTGGGTCCTCAGATAAATCCTTTGGAGGAGGGGAGAGGTTTGAGGGGAAAGATCATGAGGTCTACTTTGGATTGTTGAGTTTGAGACACCTACAGGACATTCTCTGAAAAATGCCCAACAACAGTTGGTCGCTCAGGGGAGAGGGTGCGTAGATCACAGATGGGGGTGGGGGGAGGGTGTGCTGTAATCTAACCTTAGAGACTTGATCTGAAAGAGAACAGGCTTGGAGGAGAGGGGAGAAGAAGGCAAAGACCCAGAACTAAAAAAGAATAGAGTTGTGAGAAGAGAAGAGAAGAGAAGAGAAGAGAAGAGAAGAGAAGAGAAGA